GGCGCTCCTTTCACTCAATCATATGTTGTATTTCTGCTCTCTCTCTCTCTCTCTCTCTCTCTCTCTCTCTCTCTCTCTCTCTCTCTCTCTCTCTCCGTGTGGAAGTGCTCGCGTTGATGCTCTCGCTGGCCCGGCCGCTGGGGTCCTCCAGATCTTCCTGAACTGTGGAGACCTCTCCCTTCAGTCTTTTGTTGAGTAATCCTGGTTGTGCAGGGCACGATCATCGAGGAAGCGATCACGCGCTCTCGAACGTCGCGGCTCCTGGGAAATTGAAAGAGTTGAGCGATCGTATCCAACTATACGGGCGTCATACGGGTGTCGCTCCACTACTCTGGACATGCACAAGAGAAAAAAAATCATGGCGGTGTATCTTTCCATGTTTTAGCGGAAGATTCACTCTCTCGTTTTGCACATTTCGAGAGAACCAGAGCGAGGCCGTATACGTAGTTTGCGAACGGAGAGCACGGCGCTCTTTTCCTTTTTTTCTCTTGTGCATGAACGCATCTGACCATGTTTCAGCGGGAAGTTCGTTCTCATTTTGCACATTTCGAGCGAACCAGAGCGGGAAGTTCGTTCTCATTTTGCACATTTCGAGCGAACCAGAGCGGGAAGTTCGTTCTCATTTTGCACATTTCGAGCGGGAAGTTCGTTCGCACATTCCGAGAGAACCAGAGTGGCCCGGCCGGCTGCATCTCGCCATGTTCCAGCGGGAAGTTCATTCTCATTCTGCACATTTCGGGAGTGGTGTGCCGAGGCGCTATGATCGGAAAGACGAGAGATCTGGCAGCACCACTCAGCATGAGCGAAAACGACAAAAGCGCTGGCGGGTAGCTCTGTCGAACTCTTTTCTTTCCCCTCTTCTTTTCATTTGGAAAAAAAAGGCTACCTCCCTATTTTGGAATGAATTGAATGTCTTTGCATTTGGAAAAAAAAGGCTAAGGGCATAGCCACACCACTCACGAAATCTGAAAGGGACAGAAATGTGGCGGGTACATCTGGCCAAGTTCTAGCGGTAAGTTCATTCTCATTTTGCACATTTCGACAGCGGTGTGGCTATGCCCTAACGGCCTACTCACACTAGAGCCTTTATTGTAAAAACAAATCGCTAGAATTTGAAGGTTGGGGCCAGTCGCACGGGGCACAGAAAGTAGCAAAAGTCGCAGAAGGGGTATTAATTTATCAAATGTCAGCGGCCTGGCAGGCCGGCCCCTGGGAAGGGCATTTTGCTACTACCTCCGGAGGTGGTAGCAAATCTGTTTTTTAACTTTTTTTCAGTTCAAGATCTTATGAAAGGAAATTCGAAACAAATTTTGTTGGACCTTTAGGGGGGTAAAAAAAGTAGAAGAATTTGGGCCTCTCACTGTGTCACCTCGTGAGGCACGAATTTGGCAATTGCCAGAATGTCCCTCCCTAACCTGTCTTTTGTGATTGCTACCGCTATGTGACCAGGGCGGTGCCATTTCAGCAAAATCGGGACAGCAAAATTCACAGATTTTGCTGCAATACCACTGCTGTGTGAGTATGCCCTAAGTTTGGGGTAGTTTCACAGCAAAAATTTTGGAGGTGCTCAAGTTTGGTTGCAAAACTATATCTTTCATTGCAGCTTTAGAGGTCCGTGTAGTTTCACCGCAAAAATATTTGCAGCCGGGTCCGCTTTCCTTGCAAAAAAAAAAGATCTTTTGGACCCGTTCAACATTTCTGCTGCAAAACTTCCAAAACGAGCTATTTCTGCAATTACCCTCCCCCCCAAAAAAGGGCAAATTGCAGATATACAGGTTCGCAGAAGTATCATAGCACCTTAACCACCTTTACTGGTCTGTGCGGGTATGGTGACAAACAAACACTTTTGCGAGCAGCCCAGCCTCTAAATATATTTAAAAACCACATACTAGTTCGAGTTTATTTACAAATTGATAAATTAATAAACAAAAAAATATATATAAGAAAAGAAAATACAATTTATTGAAAGTTTAAAACAGTATGTAAATGATTTAAAAAGGGTTATTCTACTTGTAGCCAGTTAGGCTATATGGTATTCCCTTGTGGTATCTCCAATTATTCTACGCACATTATTCATGACTGGGCTACCTGTTTTTAATTTATCACAAGCTAATATATAAGTAAATCTTGTAGATGCTGTTTGATGTTGGGGTTGGGTAGATCCAGAGTACCAGCGTACTACGGCAACCCAAGAGGAACGATTTATATGAGTGTATTTCATCTGATGAACCATGCTCTTTTTAAAGCAAAACTTTTTCTCAGTGCAGA